TCTCTTAATTGTAATAAATCCATTTTTCCGAGTCGAGGACCTTTAATTACTTTCTCTTGAAAAAAAAGAAAAGTGGTCGGAATACTTGTAATACCAAGTTCTTGGGCTAAAGAAGAAAATTTGTCTATATCTATTTCTAGTGCTAACAAATCTTTTTTTTCTTCTAATAGCCGATCAACTTCCTTTTGTAATTGTCGACAAGGTCCGCATCAACTGGCGGAGAATTTTATTATCAATGGATATTGCTTACTTTTTTCGAGTAATTGTGGATTGTTTTCTTTTAAAAATGAACCAATTGGATCCGCCAAATCATCTAACATATTTTATTAATTCTAATTAGTTAAAGAGTGAACTGAAAGAAAGAGAGCAAACGAAAGCCCTCTTTTTTCCAAACTTAAACAAATTGTTTATAACGCCTCTTCTTCTTTTTTATTTATTTTTTTGCGGAAGAAAAGAAAGTATATACCAGCTAGCAAAGCAATAACGCCAGCACCAATTGATATATAACTCGCTCATTCAAGTCTAGTTTTAGTGGCTCAATCATCTCCGCTTGTATCATCTTTACCACCTGTATATATTTGATAAGTAGTTCTAAATGGATTGCTTTTAACATTTTTGAATTTTTTGTTATCCTTTTCTTGCTCTGCGTCTTTAATTTCTAATTCATATGTTTTTGCTTCACCGCCTCTTGGGTCTTTGTATTTAACTTTTACTGTTTTTGTTTCGTTTTTTTTATCGTTGTTATTCATATGTATATTTTTATATGTGTTGAATTGTTTTTTATCAAAATTTGAGAGAGAGAGAGAGTATTGAAACCCTCGCCTACTAAAACAAAATGGAGCGAATGAGGGGAATCGAACCCCCATCAGTAGCTTGGAAGGCTACGGTTCTGACCGTTGAACTACATTCGCAAAAGGCAATTTTTTGCCTTTTATTTTGCTTTGCCCGCCGGTTTTTTAGTGACAACTCAGAAATTCTTGCTAGTTCTTAGAGTTATTCTTGTGGTTGGCTTGGCTGTTTTTGCTATTTGTTGCTTTTTTAGTTTACAACTATTGCATTTTCTGATTTCTCTGGTTAATTTTTTAAATACTTCTGATTTTGCATAAGCCTGAATGCCTTTGCCTTTATTTGCTCGACGGAAAAATGGATTTATTACAATTAAGAGAATTTGTGAAGACTTAATAAAAAATGGGCCCGTTGGTGAAGCGGTTAACACGTATGCCTTTCACGCATATATGCATGGGTTCGACTCCCATACGGGTCACCAAAGCCTATTCACCCATAAAAAAAATTTGTCGAGCATTAAACAAAAGAGACGCACAAAAATGTATACGTATTCAGTAATTGTACCTAGTTATCGTTTAGATATTGAAAATCAAGAAGACTTAGTGGAAGAAATAGCCCGCATTTATGGCTATAATAATCTTCCAAGTTCTTTGCCGGTTTTTCAACAAAATAAAATAATCATTGATAAAAATCAAACTTATCGTGAGTTAATTAGGCAACAATTAAGCAATTTAGGTTATCAAGAAATTATTACTTATTCCTTGGTCTCTCAAGCAATCAAAAATGATTTTTGTCTTTCCATAGAAAATGAATTTTATCAATTGCTAGTTCCTAAAAGTGAAAATCATGTTTATTATCGACAAAATATTCTCCCTAGCCATTTAAAAACTATCGCTTATAACTTAACCCACCAAAATGAAAATGTTTTTTTTTTTGAGATCAGCAAAATTTATTCTCCAAATGAAGAAGAGATTTTAACTTTAAGCGGGACAGGGAAAATAATTGCTAACCCAATCCATAAATTAGAACAAGACCACGATTTTTTTTGATTAAAAGGAATGATAGAAAGAATTTTTCAATCTTTTAATATTGGCGAAAAAATTAATTTTATGCCTTCCAAAACAAAAGAATTACATCCTTATCAGAATGCTGACATTTTGTTAAATCAAGAAAAAATCGGCTTTCTTGGACAGATATATCCTCAAGTAAGCAAAAGATACCAAATAAATCAGCCAGTTTTTGGAGGACAAATCTCTTTAAGCAAATTATTCAATTTTCTAACAAAAAACAGACTGTGAAGTTATCAAGTCATTTCACCTTTTCCAAAAATTGAGCAAGATTTGTCGCTTATTTTTGAAGAAAACATTCCTGCTGGCAAAGTTATAGAAGTTATTAAGAAAAATGGTGATCCTTGGTTAAAAAAAGTAAAAGTTTTTGATGTCTACCAAAGCAAAAGGGATAAAGAAAACAAGCAAAAATCTTTGGCCTTTCGGTTAACTTTTCAAAGCCAAACAAAAACTCTTCAAAAATCAGAAGTTGAAGAAACTGTAAAAAAAATCATTTCTCAACTTGAAACTTCCTTAAATGCTAAGTTGAAAATATAATTCAATATTATTTTGAGTAAAATTACTAATATGTCAGAATGGGTCGAGAAAACTGAGAAATTAATGAAAGAAGACTTAGATAGGTTAGAAATTAATTTAAGAAGAATCCGCAGCAATCAAATTTCTTTAGAAGCAATTGAAGAACTGTCTATTGAACACCAGGGGAAAAGACAAAAAATCAAGCAATTAGCCATTTTGAAAATTAATCCTGACCGGCAACTGGTTGTCCGCATCTTTGAGCCAAAAAAAATCCAGGTAATTAATAAAGCAATTTTAGAATCCCAGTTAGGCTATCAACAAATTAAAATGGAAAAAGATGAACTTTATTTTTCCTTAGCTCCAATGACCGGAGAAATTCGTCAACAATTAAACAAAAAAGTTAAAGAAATTGCCGAACAAGGAAAATCTGCTTTGCGAATTAGTCGCCAAAAAATTCGTGAAGAAGTTCGTAATTTAGCGAAAAAGAAAGAAATATCTCAAAACGAACAAAAGTTAACTGAAAAAGAAATTGAAAAAATCAACGAAAAATACTTAAAAAAAATTCAAGAACTCCAAGTTAAAAAAGAAAAAGAATTAACTTTATAATATAAAAACAAAAGATATCACTTTTGGAAGTGTGCCCGAGTGGCCGAAGGGGCTAGCTTGGAGAGCTAGTAATATGTTTTTCATATTCAAAGGTTCGAATCCTTTCACTTCCGCCAAATTATTTAATAAGAAGCAAGACCAATTTATTAAAAATCATTTAAAGAAACAATAATGTTATGGGCAAAAATAATGAAAATGATTTAACTCTCTTTCGCCAAATGATAACGTGGGTAGAAAAATATATCGAACAGGCTCAATTTTTTTCTGATTGAGAACAAAGGAAACAAACTGATACTTCTTTTATTTTATGAGTAAATAATCAAACCCCCACCAATGAAATATTGAAGAGTTTAGGACTTTGTCTGCACCTCGAATTCGGTCATAACGGAAAAGGAAAAGACTGATTATCACCAAAATTTCGAGAAACAGTAAAAACTGAATTTTACAAATGAATAAATGTTACTAAAATTGACAACAATTGTCCTAAGCAATTAAAACAGGTCTTATTTAGGATACATGAAGTAATGGAAAACAAAGAAGGAGGTTATAAACTTTTTAAATCATTAGAGAATAGTAAAATAGATTTAGAACCCGATTCACCCGAATACCAAGAGCAATTACAAAATGTCTTTTCCATCATTTCCGAAGCTCACGCTAGTGGAAAAGCCTTTGAAGTTGACAATGGCAGATTTGATGGCGACGCAGAGGCTGGAAAAGCAGCTTTCCAAACAATTGCTAATTCTCTTTCTGCTACTGACAAGGAAAACTTTCATTTTTGGCCGCAAATGACAGAAGCAGAAAAAGCCGAAGAAGAACGTAAAAACAAAGAAAGAATTAACCGAATTGGTGAAGACCCTATTCTTCAAAGCAAAAGAATTCACGCCGTTAATGAAATTACCCATGCCCTCAACCAAAAACCCAAACTTATTAATAGTAGTTTATCACCAGAAAACCAAGACTGAGAAGTTGAAATAAAACTAGCCAAAAACCTTATTGAAATTCAAGACATTGAAAACCGAACACTGGCAGATATCAAAATAAAAAGACAAAAAAGGCAATCTTTTCTCCAACAGCAAGAAAAATGAAAAACCACAAAAACGTTTCTGATAATCGGAGTAATATCTACTATTTTTAGTTTAATTATTATTCTAATTTTCTACTATCAAAAGAAAAATGAGAAAAGAAAATAATCCTTTGTTTGATAACGGAGAACAAGCACCATTAAAAGCCTTAATTTTTGATTTGCTTTATAATCAATACCGGGGAGTAATTATTTATGTTCGCATCTTTGAAGGAGAATTAAGAGTTAAGCAAAAAATTAAATTATTTAGTAATCAAAAAATCTACCAAGTAGAAAAAGTAGGAGTAAAAACCCCCCAAGAAGTAGAAAAAAACTGCTTAATAACTGGTGAAATAGGATGATTTACTGCTAATATTCGTGATATTAGAGATACCCAAGTTGGAGATACTATTGTTGATGTCAATGCTGAAAATCCAACTCCTTTGCCTGGTTATCAAAAATTAAAGCCTAACATTTATTCTAATCTTTATCCGGACGATAGTTCTGAATTTAATGAATTTAAAAAAGCTCTTTTAGAATTACAATTACAAGACAGTTCCTTAACTTTAGAAAACATTGAATCAAATATTTTAGGACCTGGCTATTGCTGTGGTTTTTTGGGACTGCTCCACCGAGAAATAGTTCAAGAAAGAATTAGACAAGAATACGATTTAGAATTAATTTTGACTGCTCCGACAGTTAATTATCGCCTAGTTTTGAGTAATGGAAAAACAATGGAAGCCGCTAACCCTCAAAAAATGCCTGAATGAAACAAAGTAAAAGAAGTCCAAGAGTTATTTATTAATTTAATAATTATTACTCCTCAGGAGTATTTAGGGAACATTATGGGATTATGCCAAAGTAAAAGAGGAATTTACCAAGACACGCAATTAAAAACTGATGTTTGATGACAAATAACTTATGAATTGCCTTTTGCCGAATTTATTACTGATTTCACAGATCAGTTAAAATCTTTGTCTCATGGATTTGCTTCTTTTGACTATCAATTTATTGGTTTTCATTCAGCGGAAATTGTCCGAGTAGATATTTTGTTGAATAAGCAATTAATTCCTGACCTTTCTTTTTTGGTTCATCGGCAATTTGTTGAAGAACGGAGCCGAGAGCTTTGTTTAAACTTAAAAGAGACTCTTAATTCGCAAAATTTTGCTGTGCCAATTCAGGCTTGTTTGGGACAAAAAGTAATTGCTCGAGAAACACTTCCAGCCCTGAGAAAGCACGTTACCGGAAATTTGTATGGTGGCGACCGAACAAGAAAAATGAAACTTTGACAAAAGCAAAAAAAAGGCAAAAAGAAGATGCAAAGTTTAGGCAAAGTGGACTTTACTGGGAATATCTTTCGCAATTTATTGAAAAATAAAAAATAGTAAAAAATAATTACAGTAAACAATGAGCGAAAATCAAAGAAAAAATCTCGCTAAGAGGACTAATTATCTATCATGACATGAATATTTTGCTTCAATTGCTAGACTTGTTGCCCAGAGAAGCAAAGACCCTAATTATCAAGTTGGAGCTATAATAGTTAACCAACAAAAAGAAATAGTTGCTACTGGATATAACGGATTCCCTTGAGGCTTTTCTGATGACAAATATTTTTGAAATGATGAAGGGACATGGCTGGAAACTAAATATCCTTATTGTGTTCATGCTGAAGCCAATGCAGTAATTAGTGCTAAGCAAAATTGCCAAGGATTCATCCTTTATACCACCTTATTTCCCTGCCATGAATGTGCTAAATTAATTATTCAGACTGGTATTAAAACTGTCTATTACTTAGATTGACCGGTTTCAGAACAATGAGGAAAAAGTTGAGAAGCCACCAAAATAATGTTTGATGAAGTCGGAATTGATTATCAAAAATTGGAAGTACAAAAGAAAGTCGACATTTATTAGTTCGCATTATTACATGAAAAATTTGTTAAAAATATATTATACATATGGTCAAAACGTCCCTTAACGAACCTTTATATCAAAAATTTAATCTCCATTTAGTGGAAAAAAGTTGAAACGAGTTCTTTCAAGAACAAATTAAACAAGAATATTTTAATAATTTATTGACCCAAATAGATAATGAATATCAAAATCGCTGGTGTTGTCCGCTTCAAGGAGATGTTTTTCGTTTATTTCAAGAAATATCATTATCGCAAATCAAGGTAGTGCTTTTAGGGCAAGACCCTTATCACCAAAAAAATGTTGCCGATGGAATTGCTTTTAGCACCCAGAAGCCAAATTATATCCCTGCTACATTGCAAAATATTTTTTGGGAATTAAGTCACGATCTTGGTTGTCCTTCGCCCACAAATAGCAATCTGCTTCCGTGAGTAAAAGAAGGGGTATTTTTATTAAATACGGCTTTGACTGTGGAAACCGGTGAACCCTTATCCCATATGGAACTTTGAAAAGAATTCACTTATTCCCTAATTAAGTATTTAGATAAATACAACAAAAAGTTGATTTGAGTATTTTGAGGCAAGAAAGCCAAATTAATTAAAGAAGAATGCCAAATTGCCGATACATTTAGTTTAGTTTCGACTCATCCTTCACCTTTTAGTGCTAAATATGGATTTTTTGGTTCCAAACCTTTTTCTAAAACCAATGACTTACTAATTAACATCGGAAAAGAACCAGTTAATTGACTAGCCATTGAAAAACCAGAAATTAATTAATAATCTCGTCTTTTATTTCTTCTTACTAAATAGATAATTAAACCAATTATTGCTCCAACAACTAATAGTCCTACAATTGTGATTGTTGCTTGAGTTTTTTTGTTTTCCTGCTCTCATCGATTAAGGAGTTGCCGGATTTCGTTTTCTCTTTGTTTTCGTTCTTCTGGTGTTTTGGCACTATTGAGATAACTTTGTAATGATTGACCATGAGGAAGTGCTAATTGTTTTTCTATGTAATTTTTTTGGCTATAAGTAAGATTGTCGTCAGCTTTATTAGCATCGTTTGGTTTTTTATTAGTATTATCTTTAATTTTTTCGACCTTTCTTTTTAGAGATCGCTCCTTTTGTTTGACTTCTCTTTGGCTAGAACAGCGATTAACTTCATCTTTTCAGTCTCTACAATTTAATTCTTGGTTTAATTGCTGGTCTTCTACCTTATGTAAATCCAAAAATCATTCTATATATTCAATGGTTCGTTCTTTATCCTCGGCTAGTTCGACAATTCATTTTTTTGCTTCTAGTATATCTTTATATTTGTCTCCTTTACGATATGCTTCTCTTCAATTGTTAGAATTGCTAATTTGTTCTCTTCAATCGTTTCCTAGCCACTCATTTACTTGCTTTTCGGAAATTTTGTAAAGGTTAATATAAAAATTTACGCTATTAACTGCTTCTCTTATGGCATCTTCGGCAAGATTTTTATCAAAATTTTTTCTTCCCTCTTCTCGGTCTTTGTCTCATTTTTCCATTTTTTCTTTTCATTTTTTGTCGCTTTCTTCTCTATTTTTCTTTCTTTCGGCGGCATCTTGGTCCAATTTTTGCCTTCTTTCTTCATGTTCCTTCCTGTTTTTTTCTCCTTTTTCTTTGATTTCTTGAATTTCTTGATCTATTTTCTTCATCCACTTTTCGTGTTCTTCCCGGTTAATTTCCCTTTCTATTCAATATTCACCACAACTTTTACTGCAAAAGGATTTATTTTTTTCTTTTAATTCTCAACACCGGCGAGGGTCATCTACTTTTACCGTAAGTTTACAATAATCACAAGTAATTGGACTGTCGCGGTAAGTCGTTTTTTCACTCGAAGAATTATAACCGCTGTCGCCCCCCCCCTTCGGAGTAAGAAGAATTATCGCTTGTTGAACTATTTGCGGAATTTGCTTCGTTTTTTTTGCTATCACGATTCCGAGCGTAAACTTCAATAAAGTAAACTACTTCGCTTGTAAAATCTTCTAATTCTTTTTTAGTTTTTAATTCTTTTAGTCTCGTTTCTCATTTTTTTACAATGTCTTCTTCTACTTCACTAGGTTTTACATCATAGTAATCAAAGGCTTGTTCTATTTTCGTTTTGGCTAGTCATATTGCGTCCTCGTCAATAGTTTCAGTATCATTGCCGGAAGAAGTGTTATTAGTTAAAAAATCCTTGGCTTCTCCAATTTCTTTGAACTTTTTCTCTGCCGCTTTTTTTTCTTCATCTGATTTATTAACTCACTTGTCAGGATGTCATTTTAAGGCTAACTTTTTATAGGCTTTGTTGATTTCATTTTCCGAAGCACTAGTTGATACTCCTAAAATTTGGCAGGCTTCTTCTCTTGAATTTATTGTCATGAATTGCTCCTTTCTAGTAAATTTTTTAACGAAGAGAAATTAAGCATTATTTCAATTTTTGTTAACTCTCTCTCTCTCTCTCTCTCTCTGATTTTTTTCATCTTTGTTCATAATATAGTATTTTTACACGTAATTTTGAATTCATGATGGATAAATTATGTTCTGTTTTAAGAAGAAGGAGAGGGAGGGTTTTTAATTTCTCTAACTAGTCAGTATATCCCAAAACCTAGAGCAAAAATAAAATAAATTGCCGATACAATCAAAAAAACATTGGCTCATTTTTCTCTGCCGTCGTCTTTCAATATTTGCCTCATTTTAAGATAATTAAGCACAGCAAAAAAAGGAGTGGCAAAAGGGTAGATGTATTTTCTTAAAAATCCGCCCAACCTCGTTAAAATTTTATCTAATAAACTCAACATACTTAATTATTAACAGACAATTTAAAGTGTTTGGAAAGATATTTTGTTACTCCATCACTATTGAGAATTCCATAATCAGTTATACCATGGGCGTAGGCTTTTAAGTAATGAACACTATCTGCCATCGCAATGCCTTTACCAACGGTGCGAATTAATTCTACATCATTAATATCATTACCAAAAGCAATAGTGTTGGAGAAAGGAACATTATAATAACTAGATAATCATTCGGCAGCCATACCTTTACTTGCGAATTTGCTACGAATTTTGATTATTATGCTTTTTGGATCAGGGACTAGGACTTTATCACCAGATTTTTTAGCCTTTAATTTGCTACCAAAGTAAAAATCAATTGCCGCACCATATTCAGTGCGTAATACGAGCAAAATATTATTAAATGTCTCCTCGTCATGAGGAAATTCTAAAACTAATTGCAAAGCGCCTTTATCGCCCAAAAGTTTTGAGATGTTGCCTTTGACATAAGGATTTCCATTGAAAAAAATTTCTTGGTAGTAAATATCATCACTAGTGCTAATAGTGGTTCGGTCTGTTTTATCTATCAAAACATTACGGAGATTTTTTTTAATTATTGGTTCGTTTAAAATGCCTTTTACTACTTGGTTAGAAATAGGATTAATTACTATTTCTTCATTTTTTTTTGCCGGATGACCAATATAAGCGCCATTATAAGCCACTAAAAAAGTATTTAAGCCGGCTTTTTTTCAAAAATAAAGGGCTGACAACCAGTTTCTTCCGGTTAAAAAACAGACCAAATGATTTTTTTTGGTTATTAATTCTTGTAAAACTTTTTTTAGTCGAGGGTTTAAAGTAGCGAAATCTGGATTAGTGCTAGTTCCATCAATATCTAGTAAAATTAAATGAGGAGTATTTTTCTTTTCTTTTGTTTCTGCCATATTAATATTTTTACTAGTTTTTTGCCAATTATTTTGTTTTTCTCTTCACTCAATATATAATTAACGCAAAAATGGCTATTACTCCCACGGCTAAACTAATGATTACTAGTATCCGATCAGCAGACAGGGAATTATCAGGATTAATTTTGTTTGATTGATTGGAACTTTGCTGAGTAGAAGAATCATTTGAGGGCGAAAGATTTTCAATTGGTGGGGTTTCTGGCTGATTTAGTTTGTTGTCCGATTGATTTGTTGTTGATGCCGGCTGATTCGATAATTTATCGTCTTTGTCGTTTACAGAATTTGGCTTGTCATTGTTTTTTTTAAACTCCTTATACTCTTCCCACGTATAATATTTCGGTCTGCTATAATCCAACAAACTTTTAAAGTTAACTCTTAATTACCCCCAATGGAAAAATAAACTTTGAATCGTGCTTTATTGATAAAAAGAAAAGACAAGTTAAATGTTCGCAATGTCATCAATTAATTGTGCGTTGCGATAATGGCGGTCAGAAATTTGTTTTTGAGGAACATTTTTTTTGCCGGGAGAACAAAATAGCATAAAAAATCCACCAAAAATGCTTAAAATCATATATATATATATATATAAAATGTTAAAAAAAAGCGAAAGGAAATAAATAATGGTATACACGACAGTCAAAAACAAAATAAATAATAACACCATCAAATACCATTTCATCAAAACAGATGGTAATAAACTAACTTATACGGAATTTATTAATCTTTTAAAAAGTAAAAACAAAGATTTTATAAAAGAATTTGACCGCCAATTAAGTCAAGCACCGGCAGAACTTTCTCTCCAACCAACTGCTTATTTTTGGGAATGTATTCCAGTTTCTCAGAATACTCTTGATAGAGAATTTGAGTTTGTAGCCGTAAAATCAAAAGAATTGGATAATATTAAGCAAGATTTATCTAGTTTCCAAGAACATTTTCAGAGAAGTAGTGATAGCCATGTAGTTAGTTTTCCCAGTCTAAGTGGAGATACATTAGTAGTGCCAATGCCAGTGCGAGGCTATCAGTATAATTGTAATGAATATGTTGATGAAATGCGAGATTATAAAAATCTAAGAGAATTTAATTGTAATGCTTCAATGGAGCAAAAAGAGAATTTTTGGCAGAAAGTCGGTGAGAAAATGGCAGAAAGTTTGCTTAATGCGAATAATGCTCCACGTTGATTATCTACCAGTGGGTTA